AAGCGCCTCTGATCTTTAAACTAGCCAGTTAGAACCACACAATTGGCATTTCCTGTATTCTAATATTGTCCAGTTAATTACTCAGGAAATTATGGGGTAATTTTTAATATGATGATCATTAGTATTAATGATCGTGATTAGTGTGAACAGCTCTTTGCAAGGAGCTTTGTCTTGCAGAGATCTCACTTGCGTCACCACATTTTCTCACAGCAAATTCTCTGGAGAAGCCCAACATTGACCAACATTGTTATCTTGTCGAATTCATTTCTTTTTTTGAGGTATTGATGTTTTGTTTAGTAGGCTAACAGAAAATTTCCAAAAAAAAAATTTGAGCTTTCTAGAATTCTAAATTTGATAACAGTTATCTGTGTGCTTGTTTGCAATGCTCATTTCCTATCTCTTGACAAGCAGTGAGAATTTTATTTTATTTTATTTAATCTAGAAAATGGTAGGGCATAAAAAGGCAAAGAAATAGGAAAAGAAAAAGGAGTTAAGGATGACTCCAGGATCTGGTCCTGAAGAACTGGAAGTTTGAAACTGGCGGTGGAGAAGAAGAGAGAAAAAGATACATCAAAGGTGGTGGGGCACGACAACCCATCTGCCTGCTACACATTGCAGTAAAGATGTTAAGTCATTAATTGGCTCAGGGGAGTTTGGAGTTCAGGAAAATTTGGAATGGAGCTGTATATTTTCTGTGTTGTGCCTTTATTTTCCATCTCAAAGCATTTTCTGATTTCTTTCCTTGATTCATTTGTTGGTCAAGAGTGTTGTTCAAGGAGAAAGTACAGAGGGGGTGCAACACTTGTATTTAACCTTGGGAATCTGGTTAAAGTGCAGGTTTTGGTTCAGTAGGTATCAGATTTCCGCATTTCCAACAAGCTTCAGATGGACATACTCTTCTGTCTGCAGGCCACACTTGGAGAAACCAGTCTGCATTGGTCACAACTAGGGCAGGGAAGAGTGTGTGTTATTTGCAAGGAGTGAGAGTCCCAGAGCCTGCCTCCAGCCAGCCCTGCCCGTCTCTGTGCTTAGCAGAGTGAGGACTCTCCTGCTCCTATAAACAGACATTTGTAGGTTCTCACTAAGGAAAGTAAGAAGTCGGAATGAATGATGCGAACTTTGGCCAATATTTAGAGATTTTTTTTTCAAGTTCTGTCCAGAGAACAAAGATTGCTTCCTGACAGAGAGATCACTAACATGTATTATAAATATCTTTAAAAATAAGGAGATTGGGTATATGTGTATATTTCATAACCATACTGTCATTGTGTCCCCCTTTTAAGACATTTAAAGACAAAGAAAATAATCTATCCTTCCAGTCATTATTCATAGTAGCCTGGCAAGTCTAGCAGGTGTGTGTGTGTGTGTGTGTGTGTGTGTGTGTGTGTGTGTGTGTGTG